TAAAAAATAATCATTATTTTAAAATAGAGGAAGTACTAAATTTTATATTTTAAAAACACTTATTAATTTAAAAAGTTGATTTTAATACTAAGTTTTTTCAAAATTTTATATCTTATATAGTTTGAGGAGATAAATAAAAGAAAATGGCGTGTAGTATTTTCACACGTCTTCTTCCAAACTAAATAGGATTAAGGAAAAGGCTAAAAAAAAAAAAAAATCATGGGTTGAAGAAAGAAATTGTTTGTTTAGTATGTACTCTAGACCTAGTGGTTAATAGTATAATAAATGTAATATTTTATAATTAATTTATATAAAAATTATAAAAATTGATATTTGTTTTAATATTATTATCCTAAAATTAGTTTTAATTAGTTAATTGATAAAATTAAAATTAAAATTTATATTTTTTACACAAACTAATTATTCCATCTATTTCAAAACAATAACTATAGTATGATTTTATCTTTATATTAAAAATTTCGAGATAATTTTTATTTTTATCTATATTATTCTAAAAAATAAAAATAATGAAATTTAAATAAGATATAATAGATAATTAAAATTAAGAGATAATAACAAAATTAAAGTAAAAAATATTTATCTTCTTTAAAATATAAAAAATAAATTATTATTTTAAGATAAATTTTAAATAAAAGCAACTTAAATATTATTTTAAAATAAATAAAATAAACCCAATAACTTAAATAATTCAATGATCATCCCTTTTTATTTGAAGTAAAAGGTCATGAATTCGAATCACATAATATGCGGATGAAGTGAAATAAGTGATAAGAGATGATTCCTTCCTATTGTACAATTAAAATAAAAAAATAAAAAAAATAATAAATGTATTATAATATGAAAATTAATTTTTGTATTATCTTTTTATTTCACTTTTTTATACAACTTGAAGTGTCATTAAAATAATTAATTTTTTTAATTTATATAAGATCTATAATATTAAATATATCTATCAATTTAATAACATATAAAAACTATATAAAAAAATAAAACAAAAAAATTATTTTTGTAGCACCATCTTTTTTTCTACTATATATGGCCAAGATAGAAAAACTGACAAAGAAAATGGTACGCGCGTGGTTCCACTTGCCTCTGAGTACAGTGGGGATAAACAGAAGTGACACAATGGTAGGAACTCTGTAACGAACTCGAAATTAGGGACAGCCTGAAACTCTAGTTGACTCAAACTTCGTAACCCCAATTAACCACGGTTAACCTGTCCGGTTACAAAAGATCTGCCTTGCTTTTAGCGCGGACCGCGGTAAACTCTATT